AGCTATCATGAAGATAATCATAAAACTACACACCTAGCTAGCTATCAGCCTTCAAGCCACTCATTTTGAATATCTTGTTTAAATAAGCATGTCTCTTGTTTCAACTACATTATCATGATTTGTATTACTACTAAATTAAGTTCAATTTTTTTTTTTCAGATACTAGTCAGTTGTCACGGTAGCTCGCACCCGAGTGTGGTTATCACTCGTTAATGGAATGGATCTCATAACTCTTCATCAAACGATATTCATCCGTGCATATACACAACTTATGAGTAGTTCGGCTCTTATTTCTTTGTTCTTCTGCCATGATGTTGTTTTTAGTATTAAGTTGGAAATTAAAATTTAAAAGTACATCAGTGCATAACATACATCAATATAATCAGATTTGCGCTAAATGATTTAAGAAGATTAATCTAAAGTTATAAAATTACTTAAAAATTAAATAACCAACATTGTACGAAGCAAATAAAGGTGAGGAGTCATGCTTATGCCCAAGGCTGGCCTTGGCCAAGGGCTAGGAGTGCGATTGCCTAGGGACCCTTATTTTTTGCAGCCACAAAAAGATTTTGTTACCCATTAGAATAAAGTCTCAAAATTAAATTACGACGTTTGCGTACGATTTTTCTGCTAAGAAACAACTGCTCTTTTGCATTTTTTTCTCTCTCAATTTTTTAATTCCTCTTATCTAACTTTTTATCTGCCAAAATTCTTCGAAACTCGGAAGTTCTTGAACAAAACACCTTTAGTTTTCTTTCCATGTAAACTTTATGAGGCTTTGTTCTTTATGCTATTATTTTGTGACAGACCAAAGACAGATGGATCAGTTCGTAACTGAGCAATTCCATTGATTTTATTGAGACTTCAGTACTGTACATTAAAAAAATATAGATGGAGATCAGGAAAGAGAAAGGAACCGAGAAGAAAGAGAGACAAAGAGAAATAGAGGAGGGAGGAAGGAGTACGATGGCTAGTGACAAGAGAGTTTGCCGCCGTTAGATCCGGCAAGGACCTATTTTAAATTTCGCCATGGCCCCCTAAATAGGAAAGGGATCTCTCAAGATCCTTGAAATTTGATCTAACGATTAAAAATAAGAGTTTTTTTGAAAAATTATAATATCTTTAGCGGTTGAATCAAATTTCAAATGTAATGTATCTGAAAAAAATCCCTTTCCCCCTAAGTAGACAGGGCTGCCCCTGCTCATGCCCTAACTTTGTATGAGAGGAACCGCCTCGTGGCCAGCATGAAATCAGGACACGTGTAAGTATTTCATTGGTTTAGCAAAGCATCTTGGGGTATATACCATACGTCTGATTTTGATTTGGTTTGGTGTATTTTTTTTTCCAATTATTGTTTGTTTTGGTTGCGAACAAAGAAGGGACAGATCTTTTATTAGCTGGTAGGGCTGCCAGGTTGGCAGGTGGTCACATGGACAATCCCATTGTTTTCCATGGGCTAATGGACTAATAAGTTAATGGGCTTTTCCGACTTGACTAGGCCCACAAAACGTCCTATTCAACGTCTCACAAGTGAATTAATATACTAGCGCAATTCACCACCGTCCTATCATGTTGACCGCATTAGATCGGTTAAGCGGGGTTCACAGCTGATATAATTAAGGGAAAAGGACTTTCCTCTGTATTCATTTTGTGGGGATATTAAGGATCATATATTTTAACCGTTCATTATATATCGTCAGGTATTATTTGTGTTTAATTTTAAATTAAAAAAATCAAATAATTTCTAAGTTCATCTCTAACCGAAGGGTCCAGAGGGCCGAAAATAGCCTGAAAACGTCTCCAACCAAGGGCTAGGCCAGAGAGTTGTGAAATCTAAGAGGGCCCCACAGAATTGGAGAGGGCTATAGGATTGAAGGGCTAGCTACATGCACGGGGCTGGCCAGAAAATAGAGCAATCATGTCGGTTATGACCGATAGGATTGTTTAAAAAAAATTTTGAATACAACGGCTAGTCAGCTAGCCGTTGTATTCAATTTTTTTTTTTTTTTGGTTTTTTGTGCCAATTTTTTTTTTAATTCTTAAAAAAAAAAAATTTCCTATAAATACCTAAACCATTCATTAAATTTAAGTTCTAATTTGTTTGGTTTTTTAGGCCAGTTATCGTTGTAGTTATTAAATTTAAATTGTTGGATTTGAATTTAAGTTGTTGTAGTTTTTAAATTTAAATAATAAATTATGTTTGGCCCTATGGCCATTTGCCCCTTGATTGAAGACGGTTTTTTGTGTCAGGACTAAAACGAGCCATTTGGCCCTTAATTGGAGACGGAGGCAAATATGGCACTGTACTGTTCATTAAAATATTAATATTTTGAAGGATCTTAGAGGGCCGGAGGGTTAAAACTAGCTCTCTGACCAACCATCGGTTGGAGATGGCCTAACCGTACGATAAACGAGATTAAGTACTCATTTATTGAAAGGTCCACTAGGAACCACAATCTGAACCGTTGGATGTTCAAGTTATGATGCTTTGTTTCCGGTATCTAGTGTCTGCGCGGCGCATCTGATCACGTCCGTTTAGTTAGTTATTCGCCCAATGATGCTTCTTCTCTTTTTGTTTTTTAGCTCGACAAGTTTAATAAAACTTTTCTAATATTACTTTTGTAGGCGAGAGTATATCTTCATCGTTCTAGAACACTCATATTCAATTGTTTGCCAGAATCTGTCTAGAGGAGGAATAATTCTTACGTGTAATTGATCATATATTTATTAGGTTATTTGGTCAAAATAATCTTTGAAATTGATACAATTTTTATATTAGTGTCTTAAATATAAAACCAATAGAAGTCGTGAATCATTTTGGTTCTTCTATAAAATACCGTTAAATTAAAGTAATCACGAGTTTAAGTTGAGGGATTGATTTGACAAAAACATCATCAATTTAACAAAAAATATTCACATAATAACCAAAATAATTGACGATGGACAATCTTATAAACAATTTCTCTCGATTTTAAATCGTATAGACCAAAATGAAGAGTTATGTCAATCTCAGTGACCATTTTGGTTAAAAAGCCTGTTTGTTATGTTCAACCAATAACTTTTTTCTAGACGTATAGAAGAATTTCTAACAGCGCGTAACTTATAATTTTTGACAAAAGAAGGAGTTGTGGTTGGTGTAAACTTTATGGTAGTTTAGGATATGGAGTTTGAGTCTTGATTACATAAAATAATAGTAGATTGAAATTATTATATGCCGTATGATATGTTATTTAAGTTGAGAAGAGAGTAGGTCCGGGATGCTCTCTTTGTGTAGTAGGTTTAGGAAGCTTGATGATGAGTCACTCGGTAGGGTTTGAATCTTGGTTACATAAAATAATAATGTTACGATGCGTAACAAAGAATAATGAACATTCACAAAACCTTTGAAGCCAGCAAAATGAACAAATGCCTTAACAACTGGGACGGACCTAGAAACCTTCTTTAACAAGGGCGACTTTAACTTCCAAACTCGAAAAAAAAAAATTTCATGATAGTAAAATTTCTTCCGCAATTTTATTGCTTTTCTTTTCTTCGATCAAGTTGATGCGTCTTGATTGTGTAGAGTTATGTAAACATAGTGGGGAAGCTGCCCCCAGCAGACCTTAGTTGCCTCCGTCCTTGCTTAATAACATATTTTCTTCTTTTCTATATATAAACAAATGAACCGACCTTGGACCTTGTTGCCATAAACTATATCGGAGTTCATGTCAAACCAGTACTTAAGTTGTCGGTAAAAAAATAATAAAATTCTGAGATTGTGGAAAGGAAAAAGTAGGAAATTGGAACTTAATTGGAGATTGTGGAATTCAAAGCGTGCATTTTTCTTCATCGGGTACGACTTTCTCATATTTTACACAGAACAAGTTCCACTTATTAGAGATAGTGCTAATTGCATGTAAAATAGTCAAATGTTCTTTGGAATTTTGACTGTAAACAAAGCTTCTCATCTTCCAGATAAAGTAACATGTTTTTTTTCAAAAAATAAATTGGAAATAATCTTGTGTCGGCTGCATTATGACGTAACTCAATCGATCATCAAAATTTGACAAACATGATAAACACGCATTGTCATTATAGTCACAAATCTGCTATCCTCAAATTCGTTTCTCCTTCGCGTCTCTTTTAATATTTTTTTACACGTATCATACTACTTAACTTCTGTTTTAATTCCGTTAGATTTTAATAATTAAAAAGTAAATACTAAAAATAAATAAATAAACCAGCAGCCACCAAAGTCCTACGCACCCCACCATTGGCATCAACCATCGAACTCGCTGCCGCTGACACCTCCCCAAGTTTCTCTCTCTCTCGCCTGAATAATCTCATGATCACCCACCACCATCGGCGTCAAACCCCCACTCCCACTCACCGCCTTCGCATCCTTCCGCACTTATCGAAGTAAGCAACACGGTCTCTTTGGTTGAGTGTTCATCAATGACGAATTAGATAATATTGTGTAATAATTTATGTTCTGAGATCCACACATGCATCGCCCGCTGCACTCAAATCAGTCAACTTCAAAGCCACAAATGTCAGCCACGATTTGTTAGATTACGAATGAAATTATTCGTTGTATTTACGTAAAGAACCGCATTACTTGAGTTGTTTATATTATAATTACTTTATCCTCTAACAAATATTTTGAAGTGTTTTTATCCTTACTTTTACATGTAGTAAAAATCCTATCAGCGAATTTAGCTAGCATTTCTGTTAAGAATAAAGTTAAGTAGTATGATATGTGTTGATAAATTAGAGAAAAGACACGAAAAAACATGAATTTAGGGACAAAAAACCCGCGACCATCAATTATGGAAACGTCATCCATATTTTGTATCTGGTAATTCTCTTTTAGTTTATTCATTCCTCAGCCTTTGAGTTATGAATATAGCCTAGAATTTGAGTCTTTGCATTCAAGCTACTCAGTACATACTAATTCCCTCAACCTTTCAGCAAATCCCCTTTTTTCCTCTTTTTAGATGGTTATTTCTCAGAACACGGAGTGTGAATCAAACTCATGTTTGAATTGAAAGTGAGATGTTGATGCAAGTTCTTCACTTCTGAATCAGACAAATTCAGAAAATATTCTAGGCTCCTACTTGCCTTGTACACCTAAACTTACCTACGTGTACAATACCACCGTCGCAATGCGGCTCTTTTATTCATATTGCCAGATATTTACCTAAATATATGAAAACTAAAAAAAAAATAGGAAACAAAAGACAGCTCGAATATACACAACTGTCACCGGCCAGTAACAAAATCTGGCAGGACTGTCTCAACGCGTGGCGCACAACCCGCCGTTGCTTCTTAGAAGTAATCGAACGCCGTCGATTGTCTGTTATTTCGTCCATCCTCGCTCTTGGCCTGGTAATACGGCGTCGTGTTTTGCCTTCTTATCAAACCCGGGATCATCGGCGGCGCGATCGACCGTACCAACGCCAAGTTGATGCCCTTGAAGAACGGATGCTTCTTGACGTCAGCGGCTCCGCGCTTCGACCCGAGCCGCCGGTCCGGGTCCTTGTTGAGGAACGCGGAAATGAGGTCCCGAGCGTGGCCCTCAAGCGCGCTGGAAGGCGTGGAGGTTGGGAATGTTAGAGGTTTTTTCACAATGTTACGCAGGGTGGTCTCGTTCGATGGGGCCGCGAACGGCGTGTGCCCGTAGATCAACTCGTAGAGGAAAATGCCAAAGGCCCACCAGTCGACGGCGTTTCCGTGGGACCCACCGGAGGCGACTTCTGGGGTCACGTACTCGTGGGTCCCGACGAAGGACTGCGACCTGGCTGCGACCGGTTCGGCGACGAAGAGCCGGTTGGGGGAGAGGGTCTGGACCTTGCGCGACCGGAACAGCCGGTTGGAGAGGCAGGAGAAGGGGGTGAGTGCTACGGTCTGGTGCGGGCGGGTGCGCGATGGGGTCGAAAAGGCTGCGGAGTCGGGATACGAGTCGGGTGATTCAACGGCTGGGATTGCGTCCGAGCACATTGAGAGGTCAAAGTCTGAGAGCATGATGTGACCGTCCGATCTGACCAGCACGTTCTCGGGTTTTAGGTCCCTGTAAATGATTCCCAGCATGTGGAGGTATTCCAACGCCACCAGAACCTCCGCAGCGTAGAACCTGCAGATAAGGACAAAAAAACCGAGTTAAACCGAGTCGACTCATCCGAGTTAAACAAATTTTAGCACCAAAGAATATGATTGAAGGCGACTTAGCGGAGAGATAAAGCAGACAAGATTAGAACATCTCATGATCTAATCTGAGTGATGTATTCACAAGAAAACAAAAATACAAAATACAAAAAAAAAAAAAAAAAATGGCGGTCATTTTTTATTTTTTTAAATTATTGGAGGAATATTCAAAAATGTACCTTGCGGAGTTGAGGGAGAAGCGTTTGTGAGGCTGTTTGTGGCGGAGGGAGTGGAGGTCGCCGCCGGAGCAGTACTCCATGACGATGCAGGAGAAATGGGAGGCTTCGAACTCGGCATAGAGAGTAGGCAAGAACGGGTGGTCGAGCATTTTGAGGATCTTTCTCTCCATCTCGGCTCTCTGCTCCTTCTTCTTCAGCGCCAGAGCCTCCTTGTCGACGACTTTCATGGCGTAAAGGCACGAGGAAGACGAAGACTCGGGATCCTGATCGGCCGGACTTGGAGAGTCGCTACTTCTGAGGGTGCAGAGGTAGACGGTGCCGATGTCGCCGGCGCCGATGCGGCGGTGGAGGTGGAAGTCGCGGAAAGTGAGGGCAGTTTTTTTGGAGCGAATGGCGGAGTAGGCGAAGTCGGAGGAGCGGTGAGGCTTGAGGCATAATGTCTCTGCCGCGAGGTCGGATGTGGTGGTGGTGGTGGCGGCGTCGAAAGAAAGGCGGCTGAAGCTGCTGCAGCTTTCACTGCTCATTGAACTGTGACTCGAGTTTACTGCTTCACCATCCGAATCACGCTCTAACATTTTAGAAATGAAACGTTTTTATGGATACACAATCCAAAATTTCCTATGGGAAAAAATGAACAAGCGGAGAGCTTTACACATAAATTCCGCGGAGGAATTAATGGAAGGAACTGTTTTCGGCGAATCGGATACGAAGAAGAAAATGGAAGATTCCTGGCGAATTTCTGTGGTGGGCAAAGGTGATTTTAATACAGAGAACTTGGAAAAAGCTTTGTGTTTGTGGTTAGGTCAAAGCTTATGACTTTGAAGCTTCAAACGGAGCAGCGACGCCATTAATGGACCTCCGTACGTCTGCAGAAAGTGAGTGCTTTGAACGCGAGGGTTAAACGCAGCAGCAGGCTTTTTCAGGAAGGGCCTCAGAATTAGGGTTTATACTCGAAAAGTATGAAACCTAGAGAGAGAGAGAGAGAGAGAGAGGGGCTTTGGTTTGAGGAGCTGGTTTGCTGAACACACTACTCTGTTTTGAGGTTTGAGAGTAGGAAGGTAGTTGGGGTATTTATGCTAGGCAGTAATGTAAGACCGTGGTAAAACGGTAACTTTATGGGAGTGTGTCACACGGGAAGAGGGTTCTTAAACCATCTTCAAATGAAATGTCAATGTTTAAACATAAAATTTAAATTTGAAGGTTTATGTCGCATATTAATTTTTTTATAAATTTTGTTATTCAACTGATATGTCAAATTTAAACATTATTTATTACATTATTTACTTTTTATTTTTGTAATTAGTATTTTGAAACCAAAGAAAAGTATTAAAATTATGAAAAGCATTTATTAATTACTAAAAATAGATTTGAAGCTGTTGTCAAATTTGACAGCAACTTTCTCTGCTTCCTTTTTCATGTCATGTCAAATAGGAATTGACATTTTGATTGGAAAAGACTAGGGATATCTTTTATTACCGTTATTGCTGATGTGGACTTTTTGACATCTTCTTTGAAGATGCTCTTATAAGTCATTCCATTGAAAATGGAACATATCAATTATGTCGTTTATCTTTATTAAATACGTGAAAGAGTTCGTGTGACTTATTCTGGATGCAAATTTCTTCCTCTTTGTTCTTGGACAAAATTACACCTACAAAACAAATAACACCTTAGGTCAAGGCCAAGAGCCTCATGTGCCCACGATGAATGGGGGGCTTTGGCCGAAGAACCTCCGATGCCAAAGTTAGAATTTTGAGAGAAAAGTGTTTGGAGAATTTTGAGAATTTAGCAAGAGAATCGGAATTGAGTTTTGGAGAGAATGAGGGGTTTTATATAGGGGTGTGGCCGGCCACCTTGGGAGGAGATGGACGGGCCACTTGGATAGTTTTGTGGGTGAAGTTCATGATTTGTGTTTAATTAGCAAATTAATTGAATAATTAATCAATTAATTAGCTAAATAATATAATAAAAAAGGAATGATTTAGGGGTTACCTTGTAGAGAAGATATGATGAGGGATGGATGAAATAGGTTATAAATAAATACCTATTTGGGCACTTTTGACTTGATTGAGGAATGATTGTCCACTGCTCGCGCGTAAGAATTCTGGTGTGCCTCGAAGGTAATTTTGTCCTTTTCACTCAAAAATCCATGTGTCGCCTCTTGATTATTTTTGGCTCCACGCTTGTGTTTTCGATATTTATAGATATTGGATAATACTTGCACTCCCCAATGTACATATTTCGCTATTTGTGAATAACATATCCTGACCGAATGAAATTAACAATTGGAACCGTTGAATTTATTAATCTTCATTTGAAAATCACTCATACAAAAGATCGTTCAAATGAGATTGTTTAATCATCTAAAAGTATTAATCAAATGGACAATTTATCATGAATATGTTACTTAGTACCTACTCTGTTGATTTGCCCAATACATTTAAATGACTAAACAATCTCCAATTGAAATGATTTTTGGTAGGAATGATCTTTTAATGAAGATTAAAAATTTGAACAAATCCGATTATAGAATTGTATGAATAAGATACATTATTTGCAATATTGAGCTCACTCCTAAGAGAGGAATACAAGTAGGCTTGTAAACTAAACGACATAGAAGTTAATGATTAGAATATTATTTAAGTGTTGATTAATGTGCTTATTTGTTATTGGTGACACATCAAAATTTATCAACTTTTTGAGAGTGAGGAAATAAGAGTACATGCACGTGCGGGAATGGTGGTCTTCGCTGTTCCGCCCCGTAGCGCCGGGAAGTTACTACACGTGCGGTTTCACTATAAAATGTCGGAAGTGCCCCTATTGATGACCGTAACAGTCAGCTCATGAAATGTTCGGGAAAGATATGCTGATCCTTGATGTGCGTGAGTTAAGTGTTCAGAAGTTTCAGCTGTGAAGATTAAAAAGGAAAAAAAGGGATTTGGAAACTAATTAAGAGAGAAATTAAAGTACAAATACATACATGCTTTGATTTCATGTTTCAAACCTAAAGTGTGGATGAGAATTTTTGCGTACAATAATGTATGACGTAGATTGCAGATTCAACTGTAAGTATTTAACTATATTCTAAGAGGAAAGTGTGAACGCGTCTCATGTAATGGTTAAAATTATTGTCTTATGGTATGTTAAAAATTTTCCTAGTTGCACTTTCCTAACCCTCATCGATAACTATAACGTCGAAGAATACAATGTCAATGATATCGACCATACGGTCGACCGATTCACATTTACAAAAACAAATGCATATCATTTGAAACAAAATGTTCGCATAATTACCTTATCTGAACACGATACGATTGAGAAACACGTCGAGTTGCTATCGTCAAGGCATTTGTCAAAATACAATTAAAACAGAAGTTGAATCCAAATAAAAAACACGATTGAACATGACGCGACGTGAAAGCTGCCCCTACTGAAAACAATGGAGGGGTAGGAGTTGCAGAGGAGTTATTGTACGGAGCGGGCCAAGAAGGTACCAACTTGATGAAGGAGATGATGATCATTCCTCTCAATATGTCGAGTTTTGGTTTTGAATTCCAAGCCACACCATGTCTGGTACGTATCTGCATGAGATTCCGAAGAAAACGTGTATCGTTCTTCAGCCTAGCGTTTTTGTTACCAATATCTTGAGTTAAAAGGACGCATTTCTATGCTCTTAAATTGTTGATGGCCCACTGTGCCGGCCGCATGGCTTGTTTTGGTTCATTTCTCTCTTTCACGAAAGCAACTTGTATGGGAATTCAGCATCATTTGACGTTTCCGTGCTATAATACTATGTTTTTTGAAAAAAAAATTTACACATAATATGACATATTGGACGAGAGTGCCACAGAAATGGTAAACTCATTCCAAGTAAATTTCTTTCCTTTTCACCATTACCATATATATATATATATATGTTAGTATTGAAAACTAATAATGATAGTAGTAAAATACATTAATTGAGGATTCTCTCCTCTCCCCTTCCCTCTCCTTCCCTCCTTTCTCACTTTTCTCTTAGCTTTTTTTTATTTTTTTTTTTCTCATACAGAAGTAAACACAAGATGTTGACATGACATAATCGTAACCGTTCAAATAAGAAGAGACTGAATTTGGAGGAGAAAGAATTCTACTCTATTTATCTACTCATTGGCTGCATCCTACAGTAGTCGGCTGAAGTAGAATTTTCAAATGTTTATATTTTTAATGGTTGATTTGAGAATTTGAATTCTTGAAAATCATATGTCATTCTAAAGGTTAATGTCATTGATCAATGGAGCATTTCCAAACCGAAGTGTCAAATAGTTTCCAATGCTAAATGATTGCTCGTCGATACTAGAGACACCAAGTTAATTTGATTGATCAAATAACATCGCAGTATTTGATTGACTAGCTTTGTTAGTTAAGAGTATTTGCCTATGCATCTAAGGTCATAGTTGAGATGTATTGTATTAAATACATGTAAGTATTGTAGTCAAATCCTAATTTTAGTACGCCAGAAAATAATCATATTTGAAACGACAAGTGACTTTGCTTAATATGTCATGTTTTAACACAAGTGATACCGAAAGAGAGAGATTTGAACATAAAACCTCGAATTCATTAGTAAACTCTCTTGACCATTATAAGTGCCCAAGCGTAAATAGTGGAATAAATAGTGAAGTCACAACCTCTGGAAAAATAAATAATCAAGAGATTAAAGTAAAACTGATATATCAAAAGTATGACATGAAAATGCCAAATTATGGCGTATGATGCTTAGATGGGTTAAAACTAGAAAAGATGGCAGTGATTCATTGCAGTTGAAGATGCTCTTTTACACTGGCATGGCGCAGCAACAAGGACACGAAATTTCTGAGGATAGTGGATAATTACTATTAGCAAATAAAGGTTCGTTTGCAATAAACTACATTGAATTTTCGACGATGTGAGTTAAAATCTAATTAATTAAGATTGTTTCTTGCATCATGTGAAGAAAGAGATAAATATACATAACAATTTATATATACACCTTGTTGCAGTCAAGTCTGTCACGAGGATATAAGTTGTAGCGGATTGCATGCATGTTGGGTTTAGTTAATCAACTCCATGTGCACCTTCAAATGTCTTTTGAATTTGATTAGGAGGTTGAAGCCGACTAACCAGCAAGAAGGAGACAGATCAGATCGATGGTACAATTCTACATGGCCTAAAAAAACAGTGAAAGCATGACATGTCAGCAGGATTGGAAGCAAAAGAGGGAGATGGGTTGCAACTGTTCGAGGCTGATTGATTGGGAGGTGCTCTCTGCTGGGTCCCTTCCTTTGAAAAGAACAAGACTCTTAAAAGCCTACATGATTATTTTAGATTATTAGATTTATTTCATACTGAAATATATTAGTTCACACTTTTGGAGAAGTAGATTGAGAGGAAGATGATGAAAAGGGCCCCATGATGTCTGCATAGAAACCCTACTTTCTGGAAAAGGCCAGCAAAAAGTGCAGCAAGTGGGATTGTTCTTGCATTTGAGCCTTGACACTCCAAAAGTGCAAACCAAAAACCCACATTTAATGTTGGCTTGTTAACTTGAACCACCAAATAATTATTAGATTATTAGAACCAGACTTTAACTGTTTAGTCACTTGAATACAATGGTAAATTTGAAAAAAAAAGATGTTATGATCTATGTAATTCAACTTATGAATAAGAGAATTCAAACTTGAATAGAAGAGCATGCACATTGTCAACAACCCTAAATGGTAACTAAATCAATCATTTCATGGTAGAGCTACTAGAAATGCTATAACCAAGTTAACCTCTAATACATATGGTTAACCGGTAATCGATCTTAACAAACACAGTAAAATTTTAAGACTAATATATGTTCTCGAAAAGTTAATTGAGTATTAGGAGTTTGTTTACAAGAACAAGTCAATAAAAAGTGAAATGGTAATAGTGTGTAAATTTAACGTATCGGAATGAACTTAGGTTTGTATTTTATAGACAAACTAAATACTCAATGGCTCATGTTTGGAAAATAACTTCATACTATAAACACATGCACGAGCAT